CCTTTCTTTATCATAAGTCATCACATTAGTCCATTACATTGATGACATTATGCTGATTGGACCTATCAAGGAAGGTATCAATGACTATAGACTTATTGGTAAGAAATTTGTGTGCTATCAAACCAAAAAAAAAAAAAAAAAAAAAACTCACTGCTGTCGAGTCAGATCTGACTCACAGTGACCCCTCCTTGGGTTTCTGAGGTAGTATCACTACAGAAGTAGATTACCCAACCTTCCTTCTGAGGAGTAGCTGGTGGATTTGAACCATCAGGCTTCTGGTAGCAGGTGGGAAATTAACTTGACAAAAGTTCAGGCACCTTCCACCTCAGTGAAACTTCTAGGGTACAGTGATTTGGGGCATGTTGAGATTTTCCTAATAAAGTGAAGGATAAGTTATTGCATGTGGTCCCTCCCACAACTAACAAGGAGACATAATGTCTGGAGGGTTTGTTTTGATTTTGAAGACACCATATCCCTCACTTGGGTGTGCTACTCCAGCTTAGTTATCAAGTGATTTATCATGCTGCTAGTTTTGAGTGGGACCCCGAACAAGAGAGGCAGCTGTGGTGGTGTAGTGCCTAAGGCATTTGACTGTTAACCAGAAGGTTAGAAGGCTCTACAACAGGTACAGGCTACTGTGCAAGCCACTCTGGCACTTGGACCATATGATCCAGCTGATCCAATGGTGCTTGAAGTGTCAATGGCAGATAGAGATGCTATTTGGAATCTTTGGCATGCCCCTATTGGTGCATAACAATGCAGACTCTTAGGATTTGGAAGAAGGTAATTCTAAATACCAGCTATGACCACATGATCAATTGCAGAAACAAGGACTGTGATTGTTACAAGTATTTCTCCCTTGTATGTGTGCATCAGATATTTTCATTTTCTTTGGGAGCTTCAGGCACTCCTGAAGAATGCCTAAGGCATTTGACTGCTAACCAGAAGCTTGGGGGTTCAAACCTACCAGCCACTCTGCAGAAGGAAGACTGGGCAAACTACTTCCATAAAGATTTACCACCCCAGACACCCAAAGGAGGTCACTATGGGTCCGGATTTTCTAGATGGGAGTGAGTTTGAGTTTGAGTTTTGAGTTTGTCAGTTGTAGACAGGACTTACGCATTTTTGGTGGTACACGTTAGTTGTATCATGTTATGCACAAATATGACTTTATAATTGTCTTTCTTTAGAGATAATGTATACTTTAATGAGATGTGTACAGGTACCAAGTTGATAAGGGGTAGATTGTGAAAGTTAAGGTTGCATGTCAACTTGGCTGGGCAAGTTATGGTATAGTCATCTCCCATGATGAGATCAGATATAAGGTAACCACCTCCATGATGAGATATGTCGTGAGAAGCCAATCAGTTGAAACAGAGTTTCCTCAGTGGGGGTTATCTGCTTCCGATATATATGGATGTCCTGGCAAAGCTCTCTAGCTTTTTGCTTGATCTGGATCCTATATCTGGCTAATCAGCATCCAACCTGCAGTTCTTGGACTAGAACCAGTGGCCTGCTTGTTGATTTTTAGATTGTTGCATTTGTAGCCTGTGAGCCGATAGATTTTCACCTTAACTACTGGTCTTGGATTTGTCAGTCTCTGCAGCCAGCCACCTGCTGTACTGACTGCCAGTCTTGGGTTTGTCTGCTTCTACAGTTACATGAATCAGGAGAGGCCTCCAGCTTGATGTCTGACCCATGGACTTGGGACTTGCCAGCTTCTACAACTGCATGAGCCATTTCCTTGAGATAAGCTTCTCTCTCCCTCTCTCTCCATACACACACACATATATGGTGGCACAATGTCTGAAGCATTTGACTGCTAACCAGAAGGTTGGCCATTGAAACCCACAAGCCACTCCAAGTGGTATAAACCCTCCTTTCTCTATTCAATATCTTAATACATTGCTTTTACCACAAGGTAGTTGACACTAGATATTTAAGAAGCTTAGAGTGACACTGAGCTAGAATCCCCTGGAGCATTGCTGACTAAAAGATCATCAAGTTCTGTTAGTAAGGAAAAATAACAACAACAACAGAAAAAAGAAACAAAACTCACAGCTGTTTAGTCGATTCTGACTCATAGTGACTCTGCAGGACAAAGACTCTATGGGACAAAGAAGAATCACCTCACAGGGTTTCCAAGGCTGTCACATCTTTCTCCCATAAAGTATGTTATGAACCACCAACCTTTCAACTAACAGCCAAGTGCATTAACCACTGGGTCACCAGGGCTCCAAGAAGAAGAAAGTCCACCATTTATAGGTAAAAAGCAGTGCCTACCATAGCCTTAAATGTTAAAAGAATGCCATAGTATCTTGACATATTATGTGACGATTAAAATTTGTTAGATAACATCTTTGTCTTAATTTACAGTACCCAAGAACCTAGAGCAGGATTCTAGTTTGTCATAAGTATGGATAAAAAGGTTGTCCTATCTTTGAATTTGGTAGGTTAGTAAAATGGAAGAGAGAAAAAGAATGTGTTGACTGATGATATTTATAACAAATATATGGAATGATTATCTCTGGATTCCCTATAAAATCAAGAAGTAACAAAAAGTAAGAGGGGGCTGATATTCAGAAAAAAGTTGGAGGGGCCAGATACTTAAATTATGAATAGGAAAGCAAGAAAGAAGATTCACAGTCACTCTAGATAAATATTTTCCAATTTTCCTAGAATGTTTCTGTCTCCACTGCAGATACTTAGGCAATTATTTATAAGCAATGAGTGCAGTGGCAGCCAGGCATCAAGGATGGTGCTACAGGTGTGCCCTCTGTTACAAGGGCTTTGAAAGAGAAGTAAACTATTATTTCTGCACCTTTGAAGTCATACCTTTTTTATCTGATGATGATAACCTTTCTCTGATGATGAAAACCCTTTGTTTCTCATACTCAGTTACTCTTGCTGCCCTAGTGCTTTGGCTATATGTGATAATTTAGTCCTCTATCCTATACTGTCATCTTATTTCTCAGAAGCTTGGTATCTTTTATTCCCTTACTTATAAAGGCTAAAGTCTATACTCATTACTTCAGTAAATCATTAATCATTAGCTTCAATGTTTTTATCTTAATTCTATGTCATAGTAGTGACCTTATTAATTTCCAATCACAGCTCAATATTTGCCTTCTTATTATGCATGCATTGTCTTACAAGTAGAGTTAAAGGCAATCACACAGGTGTACAGACAGAAATCATTGAAAAATGTTATGAACTTTAACACTAACTGGGCCTACAGTGCTACTAGGAAAGTAATTTTTTCCTTGTATTCATCTCGTTTCCTTAACCTACAGTGGTGATTCAAAAATTTCTGCACCCTCCTCAAACTTCCTAATCTAGAACCTTTTCCAGTCACTCTCTTACCCACTGCCATCAAGTCAATTTTGACTCATAGTGACCTGTGTGGGATCTTCAAGGCTGTACATCTTTACAGTATTAAATTGCCTCATCTTCCTCCTATGGAGTGGCTGGTGAGTTTGAACCACCAATCCTCTGGCTAGCAGCCAAATGCCTTACCCACTGTGCCACCAGGGCTCCTTCTTCATTCACTCTCTTAGGAGGTACTTAATTTCTATTTACAAGAACAAAGGACAATTCCATTAAAAAGTAATGGATTTTTCAATTTTCTGCCTTTATATCTAAAAATTAGTTTAATCTAAACCAACTGGAAATAGCTGTTCCTACCAAAACTTGGTCCTTCTACATGCGGTTCACATTTCAATCCTACTTGTGTCCTCAGGAGTTTGATCCATTACTTATAAATCATTTCTAACAGTATGTAAATAAATCCCAATCTTTAAAACCCTACCACCTCCACTTCAAAATCCTCTTCCTGTTGCATGTCTCTTTCTCCCTCTTCAGAGTCCAACTTCTACAAAGAGATTTCTGTATTCAAATTTTCTTTTTTCTTGTCTTATCTCCATATCTTATCCCACTGCAGTTTAACATCTACTGAAAATTCCCCACTTGTGATTTTTGTGCTGTTAATAAAACCAATAGACACTTTTCAGTTATCATCCTACTAGACATTTTTCAACACTTGCTCTGTTGGCCACTCATTCCTTTTCAAGTGCTCCTTCCCTTGGCTTTCAGGACATCAGCCATTTCTGATTTGCCACAAACCTCTCTGGACTACTCTTTGAGCTTCCTTTGGTACCTTTTTGACTACCTCCTTTCAGTGTCTTAGTTCCTTGAGGATTTTTTTTTTTTTTAAGTCCCTCTTCTTTTCTGATGTTTGCTTTTGAGTATTTGTCTTTATTAAATTGCATGTACTCTTATAGAATGGCATGATATCCTAGATCACATAGTAGGTAAATGAGTAGGTCTACAGTCCAATAGAATCCTGGTGTCTCCCTGGGCAAATTATTTAAGTTCATGAAGATTTAAATTTCCAACTTGTTAAGTGAGGAGAATATCTTCTGTAAAGGGCTGTAGTGGTAAATGTGAAATAGTTGGCAGTGGTTAATAGTGTGGATTCTTGAATCATGTTATAAGACAGATTCTAGTTCTGTCACTAACCTTGGACAGATTACATTTCCATGCTTCAGTTTCATCATTGATAAAATTAAGATGATATTCTTCATGGGCTGAAATAATACTATTTACTTCATAAAATTAAAATATCAGACTCCCCTGAAAATGCTCTCATCAGATTATAATGCTCAGAAATTCAAGCCTAGATAGAAACAGGAAGGAGTTAGGACACAAAAACCCTGAGATGCAAATTTTTTCTATACTTGTTCTCCAGAGGGCGCTATTTCATAATGTCTCAACCAATAAAGTTCTGCTCATTGAGGTGCACATTTTCAGAGGCTGGGAGCTGTCATTGTTAAGACAGCATTACTTATAACAGTCTCCAGAATTTCCCTGAACAGGGGATTCCAGAACCCCACTCCAACACAATTTTCCCAATTATAAAGACTCAGCATACTCTGGCACATTCCTTCCTTCTCAGGAGAGATCTTCCAGAATACAGCTTGCTGCTTCTTCACTCCTTGATCATGCTCTCAATGGCCACGCTACTGCTTGGAATGCTCTTCACACCAAGTGAGTGTAATATTCTATTTTTTGCTCCTGCCTCCATAGAAGAAACATTGCTCCAATTGTAATCTGAATGAGATATCTTCCAATCATAGGTAGGTCTGTCCTAATCTGACTGTTAACAACATTGATGTTTCAGGAGAAACCAGAGCCCAGTCAGTGACCCAGCCTGACAATCACATCTCTGTTTCTGATGGAGCCCCTCTGGAGCTGAGGTGCAACTATTCATCTTCTGGTGTACCGTATATCTTCTGGTATGTCCAATATCCCAACAAGGGCCTCCAGCTTCTCCTCAAGTACTTTACAGGAGATACCCTGGTCAAAGGTATCAAAGATTTTGAAGCTGAATTTAAAAAGAGTGAAACCTCCTTCCACCTGAAAAAACACTCAGCCCACTGGAGCGACACAGCTGAGTACTTCTGTGCAGTGAGAGACACAGCGAATGAGACCACAGTGGAGGCTGAACACAAACCTCCTGAACACTGGAGCTTTCAGGTACTCAAGGGCACAGCCAGACATGTTTTTAGCAGAGTCTTTGATTTGATATAAGCAAACATGGAAGATGAGCAGAGCCTGGGCGAGTGCTTGGCTTCTGAGAAGAAACAGAAACGTCAACGTGTTCCTATTTTTATAACTGGGACATGTCAGACGAGACCTGGACCATGGAGCATTCAATAGATATTCTCTTTCTACTTGGACAAACTGCACTTCAGAGGATCAGGATTCTACTTTAATGTGACCAATAATGAACTGATCTTCTCCCCCTACTAATCTCCGACCTTTTCCTCCCACTATTTTTTTTTTTTTTTAATTTATAGAAATTCTGTTCTTTCAGTACCTCTGGCCAAAAATCTCAGAGTTATCTTTGACTCTTATTTTTTCTCACTGCTCATATCCACCCTGTCAAGAAATCCAGTTGGTGCTACCTTCAAAATCTACCCATAATCTGACCATTGCTGCCATCAGCACTGCTATCTCCCTGGTCACACCACCTTCATCTCCCATAAAGGTTACTTTGACAGCATTCTAACTGGTCTCCCCAGTTTCACACATGTTCTCCTACATGCGATGAAATAATACTATTTACTTCATAAAATTAAAATATCAGACTCCCCTGAAAATGCTCTCATCACATTTCTTAATAGAGAACCAATGAGATTCTTGAAAGCATAGGTCAGATCATGTTACTCTTACACTCAAATCCCTGAATTTGCTTCCTATTTTTCTCAGAGTAAAAGCCAAACTCCTTACAATGGTCTATAAGTGTTCTGGTTACCTAGTGCCAGTCTGACAGGAATATACCACAAATGGGACAGCCTTAACAAACAAGAGTTTATTCTTACAATTTGGAGGCTTTAAGTCCAA